CTAGACCCACTTCAAACTTCGTGAAATTAATTAAAATTTTCTCAGGATTAAAGCTGTTGATTATACAAATTCAAGTTATTAATTAATATGATTAATCAACAGCTCTAATTTATATACTTGCAATTAGAAAATTTTTAACAAGGATTTTTGATATTTAAAATTACAGGAAAAATTATTTTAACTCTTTTTTCCCTTGTGGGCACTAAGAGAGCTGAGCCGACGGCAGGCCTAGGCCTACCGTCGGCTCATCCGGCCATCCCGGCCACCCCAATCGGTGGCCGGGTGAGGGAAGGAGAGCCGAAAAATTCTTGGAGTTGTTCGCCCGGAATAGAACCCGTGTTCTCCATTGTGAAATATTATTTTTGAGGACTTTAACTCTATAGAAAAAAAAATGTAGCATTATAGGAAGAATTATAATCTCATATTCTGATATCTTTATGATTTTACATTTCTTTATTCACTAGATTTATCATTTTTATGATAATTCACGAGAAAATTATTAGTACTTACGAAGCTCATTAAAACAATTTCTTGTTCGTAAATCAATCTTCATAAAATTAGATTATAAATTGCTTCTAATATAATTAGAATGCCAGTTTCATTAGTCTTTTGTTACTGTAGCTGAATATAGGAATTTCAAGTCTAATGATTTTAAAATTTTAAAACTTTTACTCTTTAACAAAGTACAAGAACGATCTTCAGGAAGATTTTTGAAGACGACCGTAGGGAAATGCGAAATCTGCAATAATAATACATATTTTAAATCGAATTTCTATTACTGTGAATCTTGTGAAGCTGAATTTATTCAAACAATAGGATCAGCCGAAACTTTTACTTGTTGTATGCTTGAAGAAGATTCTGGCAATGATCAATGTCTTCATTGTTTTTTGGATTCCTTTTACATAAATGGGATTACAGCTAGTTCTGTCGGTAAGTTTTTTCATTTGTTATTGGTAATAAAAACCGCTTTAAATAAACTGAACTAAAATTTGAAGCTAATGATTAATTTTAATTTATGTAGGTCTCAAGAGAATATCCTTGTTTGATTCCTCTTATCTTTCAAATAACGAATTTCCTGTAAGTTCAAGTTGTTTTTGTCAAATCGCTTATTCATTGAAAAACCATGCTTTTGAGGAGTTTATCATAAAAGTCTCAATTTAATTCTAGGTGCAAATGAACAAAAATGACCCTGCTAATGAAATGGAAAAAATATTTGAAAATCACTTTAATAAAAGCTCGTACGAATTTTTGTTCTGGATATGTTCCCAAGAAGAAATGTTAAATTTAACTCCAGTTGACAGGGTAAATTTTAAACTTAATTAAAATATCATTATATCGGATGTTCAGGAAGCATTTCGGGATTTGCAAACTTATAAACAGGTGTGGTTTAGTGGGATATGGCAATGCAACATGTGGGCGATCTGCCAAGGATGATGCCTGGTTCTCCTGGATATCAGTACTTAGGTGAAACTATTCACTTAAGTACTGATATCCAGTAATTAGTACTTAGGTGAAGATAATGTCATAATTTTTAAAAAACTTTTTAAAGTTTTCAAACACCAGAAAATTGTCCATAGTATGCGTTTTTATAGTCTATGAAAGCAGAATATATTACTGGTATTACTTTCCCAGCTGTTATGTATACATTACAAGAGAAAGTATTGGAATCGTACCAATTTCATCCTCTGGGATTTTTGCAAATCTCCGTTTTCAATCTCCCTTAACCAAAAATGTCAAAAAGAAGAAAAATTCCGTGTGTTGGCGTCTATTTTGTTTTAATATCTCAGAATGGGGTAAAAATAAAACGAAATTTGGCACGCTAGCTTATGTATAAGAAGCATTTGTGCTATTAAATTTTGGTGGTTGAAGGTCAAAGAAATGAGAAGATAGTCAGTGGTCGTGTGTTATGTCTGCAGAGGTGTCGAACTTAATGAAGGTTTTACTCGTTATTTTGAATTTTTGTAGCGTTATAAACGCCCGCAATTTTGAATAATTGTAGAGTTATAAACGCCCGCTCGCTCAGTCAGTCTGTCTGTTATTCCTTAATCTCCAGAATGGTAGTAAATAGATAAAAGTACAGATCAGATATTGAAAGCTCAGGAGTAGGATGCCCCAATTAACTACATATAAACTTTCATTCTAGTCCGGAAGTCGTATGATTTCAATTCAAAAATTTCATCCAAAATGGAGTTACACAGATGACCGGCATGACTTTGTTGTTATCAGATAAAGCATGATGTACGGGAGGCAAAACACTACTAATTCGAGATCGAAAGGATATATTTTAAATTAAACAAATTTATTAAAAATATTATTAAAAATTCCAGCTCGGCATTCTGAAGATGTCAATAATTTTTGCTCGTTATNTCTGTTGGACAAAAAAGCCTTAACCATAGATGATATCATTTAATTTATATGAATGTTTAACGGAATAATATACAGCCTATGTCCACCCCGAGGTTCCATTCTAAATATTGGTGAAAGAATTTTTGAAATCGGATGAGTAGTTTCGGAGATTACCTGCTGCAAAGAAACTTACATACATACATACAAACATTACCTCTATAATATTAGTATAGATAACAGAACACCTTTATCGTTGCCGAGAAAGTTTAATTAAAACAAACGTTTTCGATCTATTCCTTAGGCAATCGTCAAATTGAAAATTTAAAATTAATTGTCCGTTTTCAACGTGACAATAGCCTATGGAATAGGTCGAAAACGTTTGTTTTAATTAAACTTTCTCGGCAACGATAAAGGTGTTTGGTTATTGATTAATTTTACAATAACTACCGTAAGCAGTATATAAACAAAATAAAGTAAAATAGAATGTTTTGTTTAATTAATTTAATTATAGATATAATCACCGATAGAAGGATTTGTGATGTAGAGATAAAGTTTTACTAAACTACACAACCTCATTGGAATGAATGGAACTACCCCTAACGAACGAATGCACAGTGTGAATGAAAGACAATAAAAAACAACCCGATACGTACGAGTCATCGAATAGGAATACCTGGGCATAGCCTTACACTTTTCAGGGGTCCAAGCAAAAAATAATTCAAGCTCTGGCATCTCTAACTTCAAGATACCAGTCCAATGGTGGTTGGCCCACCGGAAAATCAGGAATTTCCTGGTTGGCCGTTCTCTGAGTGGCCCTTCCGTACAGGGCCGTGCGGTAGATCTCAGTATGATGCAAGTCTTCGAAATGACGCCTCTTAAATGCTCTTATTCTTTCTTTCTTTCTTTCTTGTCTTATTTATATGGAGACTCTAGCCTGTTGGCTTCTTCTCCGAATCACTCCGCTTAGAAAAATGCAGCTTATGCCCAAGGTCCTTGGGCTTATGCCCAGAGCTGGCCTACCATAGGGCGAACGGAGCAGCCGCTCCAAGCGCTAAGTCCTAGGGGGCGCCTCAGTGGTAAAGAAAATTAAAGGGTATAAATTAGGGGCAACCAAGGGAGCGCCATAATAGGATCTCGCTCCATCCTAAAACTTGCCTCGGGCCGGCACAGCTTATGCCACCCCTTAATTGCTGCTTATGCTGCCCCCTTACGGTGCCGCCTGATGCGGCCGCATCTCTGCATTATAGCACGGCACGGCTGTGATTCCGTATCTTAATATACATTGTATTTCACACAAGAAAAATAAATTAATAAACAAGACATAAGCGCTGTCTACAGTATTTCTTTTGTTTTACTCCTTCCGCCCTGTGAGCCTTAAGAGAACATCTCTCTCAAGCTTAGCGTGGGTTTCAACCAGGCTCAAAATGGGGCGACCTGGAGATGAGAGACGAAAACCGATACATTCAAAAAAGACCATCACCCCGAAAAATTCCTGGGTTTTTTAACCCGTTCGGATTCGACTCTGGGGGGTGGCAGCCTACCGTTTGAGGTGTGATTCGATCCCGGGTTCTCATTGAGATAGACTAGGACTCGGGATCGAATCCGGACGGCTCGAAAAATTCCCAGGAATTTTTCGGGGGTGATCCGTCCGGATTTGTCGGGCCCTGTCCCTCACCACCCGACTGCTCCATTGTGGACCTGACCGAACCATTAATGGGCTTGCTAAAAGAGGTCCTCTTAGTGCCCACAGGGCGGAGAGTTTTAAAAAAGGGCCCTGTGTGATCATTCCGGTCAGATCAAGAATAAACATTATCAAGTACAGTAGAGCATCGATTATCCGACCCCCAATTAACCGTCACCTCGGTTAATCGACCACGCGTTCTAGTCGGCAAATTCAAATGTCCGCTAGTGATGTGGCGCTACAATATTTTGCTATGGCTTGGCTACTTTAATAGTACTGTACTTTTACGTGTTTTAGCTGGCAACACTGGCTCGACCATGAAAGGGAGGCAAGTATTTAAACGAGGCTTCATTTTGTAATTATGAGTGGTTGTTTGTTTTGTGAGCAATAAAATAATTTAAAAATAATATTTAACGATACAATACCGATGATTATTATTTTAAAAAAAATTTTTGTTAGGCTTAACATGGAGAAAAATTCAACGCGAAGTGGGTTAATAGCAATATACTAATTACATGGGATGTAATAATATACTACACTAATAATGGATTTTTTCATACTTTTCGGTTATCCGGCTTTTCAGTTATCCGACCAACCCCAGTCCTTAATTGAGTCGGATAATCGATGCTCTACTGTAATAAAATCCGATAATACAAATAAATATTTCTATATTTATTTTCCTGATAACAATATATTTGGGTTGTTTTAAACAAAAATCGCGAGTTTTGAAGCTCGATCTGGCGTGATTTTATGAAAATGAGTTGGCAACAATAAAAAATCTCTGTGTTATTCAAACTTAAAAATTTTAAAAAACGCTTATGATACTTTCGTATTGTTTTGTATTATATAATGAAAAATATTATGTCTTATAACGATCAGAAATTTTTAAAAATAAAAAAATTAATTTATAATTTTATACTTTAGCCTAGTTAATTATATTAATTTTAAATATGAATTATTTTGAGATTAAATAAATTACCAACAGATGGCGAAAAACACGGAACGAAAGACAAGCATGGAGTCCACTCTGGGAAAATAATACTATTTATATTAAATTAAATTACTGAAAATTAAGAAGTAACAATTCACAATGTTTCGTAAGCCATTTAAAGTAAAATCTAATTCTCAGATTAAAGGATCGGAAAGGTAAATACTAATTAATATTAATTTTATATTATTTATAAACTGTGAAATGAAGTTAATTTTGTTTTTGTTTCTATTTCGTTATTTTTAATTTAATTGGAGTGTGTAAAAGATATACTCGAATTTGAACGTGTATAGAGGATTTCAAGAGTCATAGATACTGTATAGACTATCAAATTGACTCACTTCAATGAAATTTGGGTTAATGTTCAGATACGTGGACCGTCATGGCGGCACTTCCTGTTTCAGCCTCGAAACCAGATGGTTTGCAGACGACGTGTCACGTGACGACGCGAGCGTACGGCGGCGGCTGTCATGGCGCCTCATCGCTGATTCCAGCAAAGAAAAGGAAACAGTGGGGACGCACATTCTAACCTAACCTAACCTAACCTATTCTAATAATATAATTGGTAATAATTATGCTAATTTATTAGAATAGGTTAGGACGTGCGTCGGTGCGTCACGTGACACGTCGTCTGCAAACCGTCTGGTTTCGAGGCTGAAACAGGAAGTGCCGCCATGACGGTCCACGTATCTGGTCATTAACCGAAATTTGGGAATGCTTTCATAAAAAATAGGCATTTCTTTACAAGCTTGTTGGCACTTGTCAAGTATTTAAAATGTACTCAAAAATGATCTTGTTATGTACAAAGTTTAGTTAAATTGTCTTCTATTACTTTGAGGTAAGATGTGAACTCTGGATGAGGTGTAAAGTACTATGTGGATTTTTATACCACACAGAACTATGTTCCAGCAAGGTGTTTGGGAATATCGCCGAACTTTACGACTGTTAACCTAACAGGTACTTTACGCAGGTTCGCGGTTAGTATGCCAGGCCTGGGCTTAAACGTGATCTGGAAATAACTATGTACACGGGTCAGTAAGAAACTCAATTATTTAATAGTAACTCAATTATTCACTATGTACAAATTAGTAAAGAATCAAAATTTATTCAATGAAAAGAAACAATTTAAAAAATCCAACAAAAATAATGCAATTTACTTACTATAACTTATGAACTATTCTCCCTTGGAACAAGATAATATCAATCAATTAAACTATGTACAAAGAATCTTACAAACTACAATCCTATCCGTCACCTCAATACTAGGAACCTTTTTCCTTTATCCACTTTTCCTTTGAACTACTACTATCGCTATCCTTAAGACTTACTTTCAATCTCACTCTGGAATTAACCTTGATCTCTCTCTGGAATTCACTCAATCTCTCTTGTCTGGAATTCACCTTGCTCTATCCCTATTTAGGGCTCACCTTGCATGTCTTCTCTGGTCGTGCTTGTTTTATACTCTGAGACTATGTCAGAATTATGTCTGGAATCACTCCCCTCATTTACGTACTTAACTTCTAACAATAAATTTGCATGTCTTTTCCTGGGCAGCCTAGTTTCTGACATTTCTCTCAAAATCCTTTTACATTATTATTTTTTATTACATATTCGGGATCAAGGTTTAGCGAGTTCGCTACTTTATGCGTGTGGGTGTTCCCCCCTTCTTTCTGTGGAACTTCTTTCAAACTTCTGCCTGGGAGCACAAGTGCACATTAGTTTCCCTACGGCACTTTGTCTAGTCAGTGAGTTGATTTTTTTTCCCTTCATCTCTTTGTGTCTTTTTCATTACTAAGGTGAGTGGTGTCCTAACTAAACATAAACCCCAAACAAAAATAGAATAAAAAGCAAACTAAAAATTAAATAATAATACAGTTCAGACTCAGTTCCTTACAGAGGGACTTTTCACCCACAGAGTTATAATCACCCCTGTACAAGTAAAAAAAGTTGATGGAACCCCATACCTGTACATCTGACCCTTTTCAAGATATTTACCTTCAAAGGTCAGTTTTTACTATTACCAGAACTACTGTCTGTTCTCCATGCTGTGCACCATTTAAGTCTTGCTATTGATTGCCTTGACTGATGCTCTGTGTCTAGTTATACAGTACATTTCGGTGTGAATGACGGTGAACACTTCGGCACCCATGTGGGAGCTTGGCCCCTGAAACTATATAATGTTGAGTTCTCCACAAATGGTCAATTGGACTACTAAAAGCTAATATAGTCATGGGGATAAAATAGTTAAATGCAATAGTCTTAATTGTGTGATATCACTTCTTAATATGTGCAATCTAGAAGTAGGCTGATTTTGGAGGCTGTATCTTGCAAAGGGTCACATGTAGAGGTATGGTTCCTTTGTTTTGCTTCTATGGATATGGTGTAAAGCTCTGATAAGGTTCCTGTCAGAGGTATAAAATGTACCTCTGACAGGAATCACTCTGGAATCACTAACTACACTGATAAACATTTTATAGTTCCTTTAATCATTCTTAGTATAGTTTGAATATTGATTAAATATTAATGTGATTTTTATTTTTAAAGAATTATTTTTTTTAATTTTTAAAAGTCTTGTATTAAATACAGACATCTTCTTATATAATGAACTGTCTTACTTCTAGAAAATTATTTATTAAGCAGCTATAGATCTATTGTTTTATATTTTAAATAATTTTACTCCAGTGTTATTGAAAAAGAAAGAAATTGACTTAAAGTTATTTATTAGGCTATATGTGCAGTAAAACCAATCTAAAACAAAATGCCACAGAGGGACAAGGATTGAATAAAATCTGTGCCCAAAACTTAGTTTTAGTTGAAGTGTCAAGAATGAAGTAGACTTAAATGTACAGTACAGTATGTGTATAAATGCAAATTATGTCATATAAAGTTCAAATAATTTACCAACTCCCCAAAATATGAAGTTTTAATTATGATTTAGATTTAGCTCTTATGCAAAAAATTTCACTTTATGCTGGCCATCCAGAACGTGGTGAATCTTTAATATTCAAATTGCCAGAACGAAATTTTGTAAACCAGTTTTGGCACTGTCGTTCTGTCAATACTTCTTCTCCATACATGTCTCACAATTTTTTTCTCGCTTGAACAGCATTCTTACCTTTTCGGTAATAAAAGAGAAAAATATGCTGAAAATGCTGCTTTCAATCTTCCATATTTGATGGGACACAAAAAGTAAACAATTGCACAAAATCACACAAAATTTTTTACCAACCTTAAAATGCTAGCTTTCAAAATATATAATGATAATATGGTTTAGAATGAAAATGGCGGGAAAAATACAACTAATCTGTCTAGTGGTAAAAAACAAAACGAAATTACTTTCCGAACAACCCAATATTATGTATTTGGTACTCAAATGTTCCAGCTTTTAAATGGGTTTATATTTTGTAGAAGGTCTGTTTTAGACAAGTCTTGCTGTATACATTTTTGATTGTTTTTATTCGATTTTTGTTTGTTATAAATTTCTTATAACAAAAGATATTAGAGAGGTTGTAATGAAAGTTTTATCTCTAAAATATGAACTTTGAATGTCTAGCACTGCCATCATAGAAGCCTACAGGTTTGATAATGATGTTTGGAACATCAAGCATGGGCAATGTATTAAAACTGAAGACAAAGTCCATCAGAAAAGTAATCTTCTAGTCACTTTCATTTTCCAGAATACATTCATGACCATGGTCAGGTTGTCATAGATATACAGTATTCTGAAACATGATGAAAGTGAATAGAAAGTTACTTTTTTTATGACCTTTGTCTTTATTTTAATTAATAGAAAAATTACCATCTGGAATTTAAAAAATAATAAATCTTATAAATATTTAGAATTAAAATTAAGTGTTAATAATTTTGTTACTTTTCCAAAAGTATGTTTAGTTAGTACTGGTGTTGAGCAAGTGCCCTCTGGGCAAGATTACATCATAGCACTTCTAAAAATAATGCATTATAATAATAAGCTAATAACTTTTTCAAAATAAAAAATAAGCAAATTATTATCTTTTCCTTTGTTGGAGGTATAAAGCTTAAACTATTTATTAAACTATTGGTAAAATAATGCTAAAAGTTTTTAATAAAATTTAATCATCAATAACTCAATGACTTATCACTGTATATAATAGATCTTTAAAGTGAAGAGATCCTTAAACTGCCTTGTTCTGAATAAATAGTTTTTTAGATAATAACTCCAAAATAATACAATAATTGAAAATTCTTGATTCATAGATATTTGATTCTGTCTCTGGTTAATTCCAATAGATTAATTTAACAAAGATCTTTCATCTGTATGTTACCTTGTCACATAATCGTATCAAATAAATGAAAGTTACATGACAAGCTTTTATCAGAATAGTTTGTCATGCTCTGTGATGCCTGTTATATTGGGAGGCAATTTTACTTGCGTGTCCATAACAAATGGAATCTTAAATTTCTGCTTTATTCAGTAAGTTAACTTATGTTCTTCATACTAAGGTAACCAGATTTCGTGGATGCCAAATTAATAATGAGAATAGTGAGGTTGCAGATGATGTTTTCAATGCAAAAATGTACACATCAGACATTCAGTGCAGCCTTCCTGCAAACCTAGAAGTTTGACAATGACGTTTGGAATGTCAAGCATGATTCCACTGATGTTCCAAATGCCATTGTCAAATTTCTAGGTTTGCAGGAAGGCTGCACTGAATGTCTGATGTATACATTTTTGCATTGAAAACATCAGCTGCAACCTCGCTATTTTTGCATTGGAAATGTTGGCCGTAATCTTGCTAATACTAGTACAGTGTACACTAAGTATTTGTTTATTACAAATAATTATTTGAAATAAGTAGTATATGTAATTAATATGACCTGTAGGTATATTTATTGATCACATTTTTTACAAAGAAATAAATTACTATATGACATAACCAATAAACTAACATTTTTTGTTTGACCTAGACTTTCCTGCGAGTTAGTCTACTCTGAAGCAGACAACAGACCAGAAGCATGTGGGGTCAATAGCAAATATTTCATAGACAAGTGGATTTTTTGTAACACAATAGCTTCCATTAGCAGTGTCTCTTAAACTTTCTTGCATGACTTGTCACCAAATTTACACTTGACCATCAGCATGCCTTTTATCATTTCAAATTTAAGCTGCATTTTCTCA